CCCCAAAACCCCAAAACCCCAAAACCCCAAAACCCCAAAACCCCAGAGAGGAGTCTAATAATTGAAACTCTTTTAAGCTAAAGCCTTGTGTCTCTCGATATAGGACGCTTTGAGCGTCTTATCAATAATTTTGTTTTTAGTATTATCCCATAAATCATCTTCTTTATTCATCTTGATAATACTTCCAATAATACTATCGTTCTTGCCTTTCTCAACAATATTAGCAGGCCTGTCATGCTCTTTGCAATTCAGTAAATCCTTGAAGAAAGCCTGAGACAGGTGTTCTGGTAGAAAAGACATTAAAGCCTTTTCAAAGATAAAGGTCTCAACGATTGCTGAGTTAGCCACAATGGATACTCATGCTTCATTAAAGAACTTCTGAATCTCTTCCTTCTCAGCCCTTTTTATAAACTCCCTCTCATAATCGGTTCTATTTTGACATAATATAAAACTCAAGAGGCATGATAGTTCTATACCCAAAAATCTGCCCCTTATGAATTTTACAAAAATCTATAAAATCCTTATACACCACAGTTTTCTTCCCAGTGGGATCCTCCTCCTTCTCAAGTATATCGTTCTTAAAAGTCCTCTTATTCATAGGCTTGCTCTGTTCATCCCCTTCGGTGTTAGTACTAACCTTAAGTTTGATCTTCTTGCTATTAAACCCAGTAGTGACTTCATACCTGGTCTCATTATAATCGCTAAAATGGGAGTTCATTTCCTTGGGTTTCAGCTTAGTGTAAATGTTATTATGAAATTGCCTCTTCCGATGTTTCTCGTAGCCAACGGTGCACTCGCCTTTGTAAATAACGATCAAGCCCATTGGCATTTCTCTTTGCCGGATTATGTATTCACCGATTTTGAAATTTTTGACTTTCATGTTACTGACCAGGGGAAGCAGGGTGTTCTTGTCGATCATACGGAAGCCAGGAAGGGTGATGAGGAAGTCGATCCTTTTATTTCATGTTCTCTGCACTGGATGTTTGGTAAGCTTTTATGCTTGCAGCATGGGGAATCTTTAGAAGAAGTACATTATCAGAAGCGATACAATTAGCTTTTCTCTTCTTTGGAGTGCTTAATTTAGAAATATCGTCCTGTTTTTCTAAGTCAATTAGTGCCATCTCTCCAAAATGATCTCCATCGTACAAAGAAGCAATCTGTCTGAGAATCGGTGGTTTATTTTATATGAGAAATAGTTAAATCTTGCTTTAAGTGCATATTAATCTTTATATGAATTCAGCCTCTAAGAATGATATACATATGCTTTCCGATTTCTCCTTGCTTTATAACATATTCTCCAGGTTCAGCAGTCTTAATAGTACTTGAAAGGATAATATCTCTCCTATTGTCTTTATTCATTCTACAGAAAAACTTAAGCCCTCTCATAATCTTATCTATCATTTCCAGAATCTGGTCATCAGAAGGGCAGAGGTTAAAATATTTGTTAATAAAGTCAACTTCCATTTCAGACATAACTTTGGATAAATTAGTATGAATTCCTGTCTTAATCTGGTTTTCTTTCAAACTTTTCAGGTGATAAGTGTCCTCCTTTATCTTTCTTGTAATCTTGTTGGAAGCCTTTGTGTAGTCATCTTCCTCGTTCAGAAGAAGTTTGTTATGTTTATTTAGTTTGGTTCTTAGTTCATTAATACTCCGAATCAGTTCATTTTGTATATAGCTTGACTTAACCAGCTCATTATCAAATTGATAGGCCTGAGCTCTCTTTTCAGGAGACCTAGAAGGTTAGTATAATATTACCCCTCTTCAGAAATTTCCTCGATGTTTCTAGCGGAAGGTTGGTTTGAAGTAACTTTGGAGACTCCTGAGCTCTTCCTCATCCTGTTCCTTTTTGAACTTAAAATCATAGATTTTCTTCTTGTGTCAATTCTAGACTCAGCTAATCTGATCTTTCTTCCTATTATCCCTTTGAGCTTATTTGGACTTTTACGGCCTCTGGAGCTAGTTTTGCTTTGGACAAAACTTTTAGATGTTGTTAAAATATGAACTTTATCTTTTGAATTATCAGATGCCTTGCTTACACTTCTTTTCGAATTAGGAGCCTCCTTCATTGGGGCTAGCTCATTTTTAGCTAAAGATTATAGAAAAAATTACAAAAATTTGGTGGAAGAGATTGATCTCTCTTCATCAAGAGATCATCATCACTATCTTGACTGTCGTTTCCTAGAATTTGTTTCGAATAATCAATGTCTCCTCCATCGACTGATTTTTCCTCCATATTTCCAGCATTTTCATTATCAAAGGACTGAATCTTAAGCATCTGGGAGTCAAGATGTATCTGCACAGAATCCTTATCCTGAGTTATTTACTACAAAAACTTACATTAATATCTTGAGCATTGAAATCCTCGTTTCTAGAGAAAAATAAGACAAAATTACTCTTCCTCAGCTTGTGTGTCAAGATCGATGACCATTTTGGCAGATTGGTTTGCAAGAACCGGATCGGTGTAGTAATGTCAATATCATTTTAGCAAATAAATACTCTTTAAGATTTTATCATCTACGAGAACCATATCCTTAGTAATCATTTCTGTTAGCTTCCTAAGGTTTGTGATACAATCCTTCTTTTTAGAATAAATATATAAAATGATGCACCAGTTGTAGATCAGAGTGATTAAATTTAGTTTTCACACTTGTAAAAGTTTCCTATCGTTCATTGATGTCAGAATTGACCTGAGAATATCAATATTAGCTTTAGCTAACATTTCAGCCTCTTTATGATTGACATTCTTAATTAAAAGTACTACTTTAAATGCATTAAAGACTCATAATAAAAGATTAATCAAACATGCTTTGTACATATTCAAATTCTCTTCACCATCATGCATTCTAAAATTACTCAAAAACATACATTTTCTCCTTAATCTCATAAAGGTTATTCAGCACTTCTTGAGTATTAGATAACGCTACTTTATATTTCCTGTTTAAAATATCATATTGAATCTCCTGGTACTCTAAAAATCACCTTTCAAATTACTCTCTTCAAAAGATTCTTCTACCAAAATCTTGGCATACTCATCAGGTACACAACTAGGCAACTGGAGCCTGGCCTGGTTAAGGTTGATCACATGCTTATACTTCTCTCCAAGGTACTCATATTGCTAAACCATCAGCCTTAGCCACTGCTAAAAACTTACTTGGCGATCTACTGAAATATTGACCAAACTAGGTGTCCTCTTGTTCCTATAATCCTGTTTGTTCTTCTCATTTTCCAATTTCGAGAGTTTGTTGAGGATCTTTTTGAGGTTTCCTTTGGATTTAGACTTGACTCGCCTCTTGTGCTCGCTTTGGAACTTGATAAGATCTGGCATCTGCATTTCAGTGGGTTTTTGGTATTTTCTGTGGAAAGCAGGGTACGAGATTTTCCACGTTTTATTTAATCATTCAGTCGATTGAGGAGTTGTATGGCTTTTTCCTAGGTTTTTGGGATGGGGTTGAAGTTTTTACTAGAGCGATTTTGAGGATCAGAGAAATTATGGTGAGAAAATTTTATTTTTAGTAAAATTTTAGAGGATTTAGAGGGGTGTTGGGACCTTACTGAATGACATCTTGATTCTTCTTAATTTTGAAGTATTTGTAGTGCTTGAGTTCATAATAAAGCGACTATAAAGAAGATTGAGAAATTCAAAATTTTGTTATAGTTGATTTTTATAATTTTGTATTTAAATTATGTACTACTCGATATATGGGATAAATATGATAAAAAGGAAAATATCTTGATTCAACTAATTTTCATACTTTGACTGAGCATTAGATCTGTGGTGAGTTTTTAGCTTGCTATATTGAGATTTCACAGGAACCTCCACATTTCCTCTACTAATCTCATGACCTCTATGATCAGTTAATTTAAACGATCTTGTATCTGCTTCAATCTGAGATTTTGTCTTTAATTTCTTTCTGTGACAAGTAGTAGCTGTCTTGACTCTGAATCTATTTTTCTTTCTCTGGGTGAATATAGCTGATCTGTACAAAGTAAGCCAAGAATTACTTATTTCGGTTTTTATAACTTCCTCTATTATCAAAAGAGCCATAAGGAGTATTTGTCTTTTCAGTACTGTAGTCTATCTTGCTTTTATGCACATTTTCGATACATTTGACATCCCAAAGTGGATCATGATGATAAAAATCAACATCTTCCTTCTTCTGTTTCTTTTCCTTCTTCTTTTCATCTGGTATTGTCTGAGTTTCCTGTGCCACCCTAAATCTGACTAAACTAAGCTACCTCAGCTCCTTCTTCTTGAGAGAATTCTCTACAAAAAGGTTGCCTTCCACTAAACCAATAGTTAAGCCATGACATACTTATGAAATATTTTATTTTTAAATATTTTGGGGTTTTGGGGTTTTGGGGTTTTGGGGTTTTGGGG